TTTTCCATATGTATTCATGTTTTTCTCAAATGAGGCCTGGGTAACGATCTACATCTAAATATATGATCCATCATCCCCAATACCACCTGATTTTTAGCTAACCTTGTCTTTGCCAGATAGTAGGTCCTCAACAAGTGCTAACTATCTGAGGCAGAAATAAGCTTTGTTTGGGCTGTGACTTACCCAACAGGTTCAGCAGAGATTTTTTTTTTTTAGCGAAAGCAGTGGTACATGCGCGATATTAGGCAAAACAGCGCTAGTAAAAGGGGATCTGTATGATGCTGTCTTCCTGACGCTAGATAGAGAAGGCATCCACCATCGTATCATTTCCTTCAGAGCCAGCAGCTTTTATTCTTTTCAACAAGTGTTTAGAGGAAAGTGTTGGTGCTTATTAATCTGTTTCTTGTCTTACAAATGTGCTGATGCATGATTGGTGGCAAAACTACCCATCTGACAGCTCTCAATGTAATCTACGCGGCAGGACAAGATTGTTACACTGAACAGATCTGTTTGGAGTTGTTATTCTTTGTAATTACCTTCATTAAGTGAAAGCATGTGTCAATCAACTTTGAACTTTAAACATACCAGTAATTTGCAAGAAAAAAATGCATTTCTATTTCCTATAGGCGCATGTGTGCTTGAATATGAGTATATATGTAGGTAGGTATATATACTGTATTAGAAACGTATTTCTGTAACTCTCTGAATATTTACTTACCCCCTGGTTTGCATTTGATAATTTTAAATATAAATAAAGTACACAACTCCAGAGAACTGTCAACAAAGTTTAATAAATAGCTAAGTTATGTGCTGGTGTGAAGACAGTTTTTTTGTTTTTGTTTTTTTTTAACCTTTATTTATTTTTGAGACAGAGAGAGACAGAGCATCAACGGGGGAGGGGCAGAGAGAGAGGGAGACACAGAATCGGAAACAGGCTCCAGGCTCTGAGCCATCAGCCCAGAGCCCGACGCGGGGCTCGAACTCACGAACCGCGAGATCGTGACCTGAGCTGAAGTCGGACGCTTAACCGACTGAGCCACCCAGGCGCCCTGACAGTTTTTAAATAAAGAACACTTCTCCCCAAATTTCTGCAATAAGAGTGTACATTCATATTACTTTCAAACAAAAACTGCTCACTAGGGATATAATTTGAAAACACATCAACTCTGTTGCTCTACCGTATTGTAAATCAACCAGGGTATTGCAACTTTCTTGATCTGATCAGACTCATCTGGGTCAGAAACCTGCAGACAAAGTGCAGAGCATTCCACAAAAGCGTCCTGAACTTTAACAAGTTAGTCAACAAGCACTACTCATTCTGCCCTTCACTGACAGTTATTAACTGGTAACTTTCTCTCCTCGGTAACAGATGCCCCCATGTGTTTATTCATTTATTCATTCACTCAATCAACCCACATTTATGGGAATCCTTGCGATGTGCGCAGCACTGTGAAGAATTAAAAAATGAATAAGATGCTCACAGCAGAGGCTCTAAGAAGGGTAAGAGGAGGAAAGCTGCGGAAGTAGCCGCATGGTGTCCTGGCGTGGCTCTCCCGGGCGGCGCATTAGGCAAATTCCTTTTCTGCTTCTTTCAAGTGGCTACTTACCTCCACCAGGGGGTGTTCAGGGATAGAAAGTAAAGATAAAGGGGATGGAGGCAGCTGTGCAATTGCCTGGCAACCTCCCTCCCTGGTAAGGGCTAGGATTAGTGGTGAAAGGGAGGGTCTCAGTTAACCTGTTGACTTCAGTTTATGCTCAATATGGGGATCCCTGGACACGGCCAGTCCCCAGTCTTAAACATGCCAGCGGCTTCCCAGCTCCCAAAGTGAAAGTCGAGCCACTGTCACCTTATTTGTCCCCTGGAATCCCACACCGTATCCCCCACGACTCACCCCACCTCTCAGGCCACTGCAGCCCCACATCAGCGTTTGCACAGTCTGTCCTCTCCGCCTGGACCTCTCTTCCCCAGATGTGCTCCTGGGTGTACCCCTTCCAGTCTGTCAAATGTCACCTTCTCCATGAGACCCGCTCTGACTGTGCAACCCCTCCCTCTACATGCACTGGCATGACCTCCCCTCCGCCCCGACTTTAAAATAGCGTGTACCTCCTTGTTTTAAAATTTCTTTTTTTTTTTTACTCTCATTAGATATATTATAAAATAGCACGCACCTTCTAATACACCACATCATTTATTTACTATTTTCATTGTCTGTCTCATCTCACGAGGAGAGAAGTTCTATGAGTGCACGGGTTCTTGTTTTATTGTATGTATTCCTAGTTCCTAGAGCAATACCCAGATCCTAGAGCCATAGACATCGTGTCTACTAAATATTCTGCAAATAAATGGGTATTTCCAGATCCCCATGACCAAGCACAATGGGGTTGGCTGTGTTAGGCCGTCTCCTTCACTTAAGTTTTGCTATTTCCAGTGGAAACATCGGAGGTGAGTGTTGTCAATGCCACAGTGCCTGGCACATGGTAAGCTCTCACCACGCGGGAGGGGAGGTCATGATGGGAGGCACAGCGTTAAAATGTGTGCTTTGAGTCTTTAATCCACCTTTCCTTCATGTGCAGCCTTGGAAGATGACTTCATCTCTAGGTGCCTCAATTTTCACTTCATAAAATGGAGATGGTAATAATATGAACTACCTCAGGGTGGGGTGAAGCTTCACTGACCGAATCTCTGTGAGGTGCTTGGACGAGAAGCTGGTTCCTGAAAACCTCTTAGGGGATGGTTTTGGGAGAGGATGATGGGGGACTATGGTGAGAAAGAAATCTGAGGAGAAACTGAGGGCTAGTCTAAAAACTCTCAGTTCCAGGAGTGCTTGGAGGCAGAGTGACTGACGGAGATCACGAAGCTCTTTGAACAATTTGAAAAAACTTGACTCTGGAGAGCTGACCTGGTGGTGCCCCTGAGGGCTGGTTCACTGTGGGGTTCTTTAGAGGAAGAAATCCTACAAAACTGTGGAGTTTATTCAACTCACAAAATCCCTCGTGGTCTTTATGTGGGGCTGAGCGTATGATGTTGGGTAGATATTGGGTGGGGATGTCATTTGGATAAGGGTCGGTCCCGTACTTGAACACAGGGTCTTTAAACACAAAATCCTAATCTCTTCGGTGAGAAGGGCTATAACTTCCACAACTACCTGTAAGTGGAGGTTGTGAAAATTAGTGAGCCAAATACAGAAAACTTCATGATTGACAAGGAAGAGGTGCCATTAAATTAAATGGGAGAGGGGCGCCTGGGTGGCTCAGTCGGTTGAGCGGCCGACTTCGGCTCAGGTCATGATCTCACGGTCCGTGAGTTCAAGCCCCGCGTCAGGCTCTGTGCTGACAGCTCGGAGCCTGGAGCCTGTTTCGGATTCTGTGTCTCCCTCTCTCTGACCCTCCCCCGTTCATGCTCTGTCTCTCTCTGTCTCAAAAATAAATAAACGTTAAAAAAAAATTAAAAATAAATAAATAAATAAATTAATTAATTAATTAATTAAATGGGAGAAGGGCAAGACGGGGAAATAGCGTATAACATGCCCAAACAGCACATGCAAAGGTCCCTGATGTTTCCATAATTAAGGAAAACATTTTTGGAAGTGATGGGTCGTATTTCTCTGTGTTATATGGTGACTGCTCTGACTGTAATATTCCAACTAACACACTCACTTAAAGTCTACATGATTTTTAAAAAATATGGTCACTTCAGCATTCGTAGTGTTCTCTTGTTGAAGTACACATGTTATTTTTATTTCTAATGGTTTTATTCAGATATGATTCACATGGCATATAATTCACCCATTTAAATTACACAAGTCAATGGTTTTTAAAGTGTATTTACACAGTTGTGCAACCATCACCACAACTGATTTTAGAACATTTTCATCACCCCAAAAGAATTGTACTCATGAGCAGTCACTTCCCATTCCTCCCTCCCCCAGGCCCTGACAATCACTAGTCTTCTTTTCGTCCCTATGGATTTGCCTCTTCTGGACATTTCATGTACGTGGAATCATGCTGTGCGGGGAGGCTCCTCCTGACATCTTCCACTTAGCATATGTCTTTAAGATTCACCCACGTTGCAGCATGAATCAGTACTTTACTCTTTTTAGGGATGAATGATATTCCACGATATCCATTCTTAAATAAAATGTGGTGCAATCATACAGTGGAATATCGTTGATATTGATGTTGATGGACATTTGAATTGTTTCTACTTTTTTGGTTCTTATGAATATTGCTGCTATGTATATTGGTATAGCAGTGTCTGTGTTGATGTATATTTTTATTTCTCATATATATTTATATATAGGAGTGGACTTGCTGGGCCGTATGATAGCTCCATATTTAATTTTTTAAAGAACTTCCACCCTTGTTTTCAAAGCAGTGAAGCACAGATTCAGCAGTAAAGCAAGAATTGTGTATATGCTATGGCTTTTCAACAAGCTTTGATTTTTATCCAGACCTTCTCCTGAGAGCTGATGTCTGCAACCTGAAGCCTCCAGGGTAGCTGGCCTGCCTACGGTGTCACGGGCAGGTGTGTGGGAGGTCTGATGGAAGAAAGTGAGAGGACAAGCAGGACAAAGAGAAGAGAAAGAGCAGGAGGAAAAAGAAAGAAGGAAGGAAAGGAAGGAAGGAGGGGAGGGAGGGGGAGAAAGAGAGAGAGGAAGGAAGGAAGGAAGGAAGGAAGGAAGGAAGGAAGGGAGGGAGGAAGGGGACAATGGAGGCAGGAGTAACAGAGGGTTGGGTTGTCTATTTGAGGCTGCCCACTGCTAAGCCTCGAGTTGATTAATGTATCTGTTTTACAAGCTTTGTGAATAATTCTTCCAAGTGCTGGAGAGGAAGCGTGTGTGTCTCAGCTCTGTGAAGAAGGCTGCACATTGTGTCATCGGCTGTAGCCCATCCACAGGATTGCTCATGTCCTGTGGTGAAGGGCAGATAGGAAAGTGACTCACCTCACCTACGGCAGTGCTTCTGACTCACATGAGAATCACCTGGGAGCTTTTAAAAACTATGGATGCCGGGGCCTCATGCCAGACATTCTGATGGGATCTGTCTGGAGTGGGGGCCTGGGTGCAAGTATATTTTAAAAGGTCCCCGGGTACTTTGTATATGCAGCCAGGGCTGAGAACCACTGATGCAGCCCTACAGATTTTATATTTCAACAGACATTTTTAAGACAAACAACTACCGTGATGATCTTTAAATGATCTTTTCAGAGGCACATCAGAGCCCCATTATAGCTGCTTCTAAAGGATGCTAGTGAATAGGGGATTTTGACTGTGATATTAATTTGCCTCCTTAGTGCTCTCCTTTTATCAGAAGCTATTCTATTTTGGGACCACGGAGCACATCTGTTGGGACCCATGAGAATCTTGAGGGGGAAGAAAAGAGTGTCTGGTGGAGCTAGACTAGGTAAGTCTAATCGCTATGGCCTCTCAGAGACCCGTGAGCCCAGAATGAGTTTCCTGATCTCCAATCTGGGGGTCATTCTAGGGAGTGATTCTCTTTATCCAGCCATATATTCATCCAATACGTATTTACAGGGCCCCTTCTGAGCACCTCGTAATAATTCAGGGCCCTATTGTAGAGTTAGCAGCTTGGTCCTCTGGGCTCTCTGACTTCTGTTTCCATGAGTCTCAGTGCCCTTCGCACTGCCACTCTAGTCCGGGTCACCATCTTTCCCAGCCTACACCTTTGCAGACCTACCTGGTCTCCCTGCCTCTGTTCTTAGTCCCGTGTGACCTATCCTTCTCAAGGTTGGAGGGATCATTAAAAAAAAAAAAAAAAAAAAAAAAAGGTCAGACGTCATCATTCCTTTGCTCAAGGATTTCAAATGGCTTCTCATCAGACTTGGAATCAAATTCAAGCCCCTCGATCTTACAAGACCTCACCTGTTCCCATCTCTCCACTCTCATGTCTCTCCTCCTCTTTCTAGCACTTTGGACTTCGTGCTCATTTTCTCCTCAGGGTCTTTGCACTTGTCCTTCCTTCTGCCTGGAATGTCCTCCCCTCAGCTCATCGGTAGCTTTTCTCTGCCATATCCCCTGTGAGATGACGAGCCTCTCTATAGCAAGGACCCTGTGCTTGTCATCTGTGTGTCCCTCACAGCATCTGGTAAGGTCAACTGCATTTAGGAGGTACTCATTAAGACACTTGAGGATGTGAGTGGACACGAATATAAAGAAAGCAACATGCTGGAAAAAACCCTTGTCCAAAGTTCCGTGGAACAGGTAACTCCAAAAAGCCAACTCAGCATATCAAAGTCTGATGGGGTTCTCTTGCTGCTCCGAGAGCTGCAAAGATTTTACGCTTGTGCAAGCAGATCCTCTAAAAGAAGTAATTTTCTCTTTAGGAGAGTAGCAGTACACAGGCTCAGCAGTAAATTCAGAGCATTTTACAAGAAGATGAAAAGTGAAAATCATATGAAAAGTAGTCATTGTACACTAGCAGCAACTATCTCTGCAACTTAATGGTATGGTGCCACAATTCGCCCATAATTTCTCTCTCCCTCTCTGTTTCTGGCTCTCTCAACTACGGAAAATCCTTAGTGGTCTACACAGCCTGAAATAAACCAGTGGGAATATAGACAGATACATTTTGACACAGCACAGTCCTTGTTACCTATGTTTCTGCTACCATTTCAGGAGCAGTAAGCTCTGCCTCTGTATACGTAATGCAGACAATAGTGTGGGACCTTAAAGACATGGCCCATGATGGCTGGAGTCCATGGGTTACCAACCTCAGATGAAGGTAGAGACTGGCAGCAGAGGTGGGCACCATTTCCATGTGGGTTTTTTTTCTATCTTTGCTTTTTTTTAAAAACAAAATATTTTATTATTTTTAAGTAATCTCTACACCCAATGTGGGACTTGGCCTCACAACCCTGAGATCAAGAGTCACGTGCTCTACCAACAGGTGCCCCCATCTTTGTTTTTAATGGGTTTTCCAAAAATGTTTTCACCCTATAAGATTCATTCTACTTACTATTTCGAAGTTGCTCTTCATCACTCAAAAATTGTCTATGACTGACCTGAGTGTACAAGTCCAAGAGCAATCCACGTGAATTCTAATGGAATAAAGAAAAAACAATCACCCATAGTTCTACCACTCAGGGAAAAGTCTTAGTAATTCTATATTCCTATGTGGGAATACTTGAACATTTTGAACTTTTTCCCTATGATTTTGAAAGTAAAACATCTTCATCATAGAAATTCTGGAAAATGCAGAAAACTATAAAAGAGGCAGAAGGATAAACAGTCCATAACGCAGGAAGAAATTTTGATAATGAGTATTTTACCACGACACACATGGAAAACAAAAGCATCAGGCTTACTGGTTGAAAGACCCAAATAAAAAAAAAAATACAAGAATATTCCCCTAGGCCTGAAGTGAACAACATTTGTCGCCTCTCAGCATAGACAGTGCCTTCTAGTTTCTGGAAATGCTGGGGGTAATTCCTGGTCCGGAGGATGACTGTGGAGTGGCTTACAATCACCACAAGAGATGGGAAGCAGGGTGAAGTCTAAGAGTGTGTGTGTGTGTGTGTGTGTGTGTGTGTGTGTGTGTGTGTTTGCAGAGGGGACAGGAAAGCAAAGTGGGCTTGCTTACATGAGCATTCAGGGTGGGAGAGGCCACCAGAAGTGGCTCAGGGCAGGGTCCTGAGCTGGTGGGCCATTCTAGTTTGCAGGCTGTTCTCCGGGGGTGCCTTGCGGGCCCTGAGATCCTGGCCTGGGGTCCTTCGGATGCAAGGTGGCCTTCTCTGTGGCCTGGCAGGACTATTTGTCTGTAAATCAGCTGCTCTGCACCAACTAGGGTGCCATCTACCCAAGTAGACCAAGATGAAGGGAAAGCGGGCTCCAGAGGTGGAGGTGGACCCTCACCCTGCTGTGTTACGGGGGGAAGTAATGGGGAGAGCTCCAGCTCTCCTGGTGCTTCTGGATGTAGCCTTGAGGAAAGAACACTCTCCTGGAGCTCATCAGGCATCCTGCTTCCCATCCAGCTCTACTACTGGCCAGCCGAAAGCCCATTGTTCTCTTTAGCCCAGGTGTTTTGTTTTTGTTTTTGTTTTTAAGTGAAATCAACATCTGCCTTGCTCACCTCTCAGGAGTGTTATCATAAGAATAAAATGAGGTGATAAACACGAGAGAATATTTTTACTATTTGTAGTAATGTTCTGAGGCTGATTCCCACCCACCCTTCAGATCTGTTAGTTCAGCACTCCCTCCAGGAGGCCTCACTGGACCGCCAACCTGGGTGAGGTGCCCCACTTCCATAGCAATTGATCCCTGGCAGATTGATTGGCAGTCTGTTTTCTTCTCTGCCTAAGCCAGTGGTTGGCATCCTGGGTCTTACCCCAGCACCTCGCAGTGCTGGGGCCCGATACAATTTGTGGACTGAATGGCCAAGTGTTGCTGTTGAGTCACTGCAGAATATAATGCAATAGTTACTGGTCTGCTTTTTATATAACACAACCAGAAGTTGAGAGATAGAGAGAAGAAGTAAAACTCAGGAAGACTCCAGCTGCTTGAGGCACATTTGTATCCTGGACCGGCCAAGCTCCACTGTAAAACTGCCATGCTGGATATTCACTGGGTGGGCATTTTGTGCCCTGGGAAGGAAATCTGTTAAAACCTCATGACTGCTACTTTCCTCCCAGGCCAACTCCTTAGAGCCAGAGGTAACAAAAAGAAGATTGGGCGAAGCAGGACACATACAAAGCCCTGGATTCCAATCCAGCCTCGCCACTGGCCCGCTCTGTGGTTCTGGGCACATGTCACTGCTCTGGAACTTTGCTTGCCTGTCTGCAACATGAGTTGGTAGGGCTGTCTCTGACACCCTTTGATTTATGTTGTCCCGAAACACAAAAACGTGTGAACCCAGCAATACAGGCTTAGGCAGCCACCCAAAGAGATGGGTTTTGTTTGCTGGCTAAGATTAGGCAGCAAATAACCTTTTTGTCACAACACCTGGCAAGGACGAAAACATTTAAGCGAAAGACGTGAAATGGAAGAATTTGTGCCATGTGTGTGGCCAAGTTCGCACGTCAGTGTGTGTGCAGAAGGTTAGAGCAAGGGGAAGAGCCACACCACTAGTCCAAGCTGGTTAAGGATGTGTGCCATCCTGATTGATAATAAAGAGAATCACAGAAAGTGTGTGTGTGTGTGCGTGTGTGTGTGTGTGTGTGTGTGTGGCAGGAGGAGCAGAGTGGAGGATTAGTAGGGGAAAAACCATTTATCTCATCATAGGTACACTTTCACTTGCTATTTTGGTAAATTCCTAGGGTGTGATATATTTTTCACACATATTTGTAATGTGACTGACTATTGTCACCATCTCCTGCTGTGTCACAATTGTTCCTAACTCAAGGACATTCTCTATTCAAATTGTAAAGTTATCCCTGAGCACGTTGTGTTATTATGTTGCTAAGCTCTTGGCCTTATTTTATTTTAAATGAATCTAATGCAGTACCTGACATGTTTGTTATACAGATATTATATTTAATATGCACTTCATGTGTATTAAAAGTGTGTACTACAAAATATTTCTGACTTTACATTATAGCATTGATGACTCTGCATTCTAAAATTGGTAGCATGCTTCTTGAATCATATAAGGAATATTTTCTAGAAAGAAGTAAATTACTTAAGGTTTGGATAGGCGAAAAAAGTAGTTCGCACTTTCTTTAATATTTTTCATTAAAAGAAGTTTTTGTTCATATGTAGTTATTGCATGATGAACGTGCTGGTTCCTGGTAATGTTCTCATTCCTGCACCCCGCAGCCCCGCCCATCTCATCACTGCGTATTTATTTAGCAGCTAAAAGTATCATCCTCAATTGAATGGAGGGTGTTTCAGATCAAGGCACTGGTTATCTAATAATCAAAAGGATGGTTGACTTTCCTACTGTGCCATCCTAAAAAAAAAAAATCAGTGCATATTTTGGAGATTAGAGTGATCCATCATGCATAGAAACTCTTCATTATTACTCTACAAACTTCTAAAAAATAGGTGTTGTGGATCCAGAAAGAAATGTGTTGTAGACTAAGAATTGCATCTGAGTGTAAAAGAAAAAAAAAATAAGTCTGTTCTCTTGTAATAGTGTTTAAGATTTATATAGAATTAAGCTTTTTCCTTTGTTTGAAGAGAACAATAGCACAACTCTCTGTTTGGGATGATTTATCTCTTGCTAAACCGCCCTAACTGTTTATGACACCAAAAAGACAGGTATCATTAACCTTAGGTGTTGACAATTTAGAATTCATGAGAATGAGTTGGAAGCACGATAGACGGGTCCCACCCCTGAGTTTGTGGAAAGCAGATGAATCCTATGAACTATTGCCACTGAAGCCTTTCGTTACCACAAAAGAGTTCCCCTCAAATTTTCATGGAGGGTATTTGGTTTTTAAATGTCCCTTCTCTCTGAAGTGGAAACTGTTTTTAGGAAAAATGGATCTATATTGCAATCCAAGTATTTGCCAAGGACCTAGAATCAAGTTTATTTGTAAATCCATAATTTACTGAACCATTTTACCTTTCTTGTAAGTGATTCATGTATAAATTAGTGATGAATTCCTGATTAATTTATTTTTGCCGCTGTTCTTGGATTTTAAAAGCTTGCATTCCTCAAGATCACCCTCTTCATAAATACCTTCAATAAATTTCAGCACAGAACGATGGCTCACGCTCTTTTCTCCTTTACAGGATGGTCTAATCGGGCATTCTAAGGCAAATCAGAATTCGGTGACCCCAAAAATGTACCAGATTAAAACCTACCAATAAAAAATAAGGTGTTGCTGGAGAAAATACTCTGCAGCTCTTTTTTGCTTTAGGCATACATAACAACAACATGAATTTAGGGTAGGATCTGGTCTTAGTGCAGCATGCATTAATTCACATTTTGAGGTCTTTTACATATATTTATTTTCCTATGGGCCTATTGCTGTACTACATTAGATCTACTTAAAATCTATTGAGAGTATTGATTTTTTTTTTCTTCAGAAAAATCAACGCAGTGAGATGGTCTCTCTCCTCTTATAAAGCCCATTAGAGAAAGCCAGAATTGTGTTGACATAAAAGAAGAATGCTTCCTAATGTACATGACTTATTGCCGTGGTTCAGAGGACTCAGCTCTCATTCAAATCTAATTAACCGATTTTGTCTAGCTTGTGCTCCAGTCTCTGCAAGGTGATCACACCTCTACCAACATAAACTCCCCTGCTTAAGAAGTGGCTAAAAAGGACTGATAAAAATATAACTCTCTTAATGCTAGTGATAATAATATATCCAATAATGGCATGAAATGTTTGAATTTCATTGGGGCAGCTTTTTTTTTTTTTTAAAGATAATTTCAATTACTATGAGCCTGGAATTGAAGTGTATGATTTAGCTGAAGTGTTTTAGTAAAACTTGGTAGATAAATCAAATACCCTGAATTCCTTTAATAGCTGTTACGATTCTGACATCTCCTTGGTTTAAAGAAATTGCTGAAAATTTGACAAAACTAATGTGGATGGCTAAAATTGAACTTGACAACATCTATATGGGGGAAGAGGTGAAATCACTATATTTAGAAACGAATGTTCCCATCCCAGCCCAACTACATATTCAGGTTAAATGTGTGCACATCCTGGTAGCTGGAACATCTGTTTCTAGCTTGTTGTTCCTCTTGGCTGCTTTTCAATTGGATTTCCTCGAGCAGGTCCCAGGCTTGTCACCGCAGCTAGGGTCTGTTAACCATCACCACTGGTCCTACATTAAGTAGGAGGTTCAGGGCTAAGCTAATAACTCGCCTGCCTTTCTGACTGATCACAGTGATGCTCCCCGTGGCCACTTATCATCAGACTCCTCTGGGAGGGTGCTTTTCTTTGTCTGTACCTTTGGGGGGAATTGGTTTTGTTTTTCCTTGCTCCTGGAGTTACATGTGAAAAGGCACAGCTCATTGTTGCTTCTTTGGTGCCGCTGTGCGATGCTTCGCCTGCGTCCCTGCTGTCCCAGAGTCAAAGGAACCAAGTCTCAAACATGACACTCCCTGTGTCCTTTCCCAGGAACCCTGTTATGTGTCTGGGATGATTCTCTTCTTCCTCTACTCTGAAAAACAGAAAAGGAACTGTCACTGAATATGGGTTAAAGGCAGCGAGGCAACTTTTAGCACGAAACACGGTACTTTAGTGTTCCAAATCGTGGTTATGATTTGGCATAAAATCCCAAGTGGAAAACATTTGATGTCTATAGGGTGGCAAGCATGTTGTCCACATCCCAGGGGGTGAGCTGAGGGTGGGGTTGGAAGGAGATAGGCAATTGTAAAGATGCTTATAAAGGCTTTTGTACAATTCGGTGACTTCCTCTTTAATAAGTGTTCCAGGCTGAGTATAAAAGGGGATGGTCACATTCAAGGATAGATGAAATGCATTCAGAGTTTGCTAATGAGTGTGGGGACACTTGCCGAATTTGCTTCCCGTTCCTACTTTCCAAATGGCTTCGGAGATCGCAGAGAAATGTGGATTCAATCCAGTCCTTATATCCCGGGATTGACACCATCCTGGGGTGACTTCCACAGTTGAGCTCTGATAGGAATCGGTTCCCTCTGCCAAACCCTATGCTGACTTTAAACTTGGCAAGTATTTCTTTCCCTAGGGCAGGGATTTCATAGGGAATTCTCTTGCCAAACCTTGCCCTGGTCCCTTGTAGGTGTCTATTGCCAGGTGAAACACGGACACTGGATGAGTAACCTCAAGAAATAATAACACCAGAGGGATCAGGTATGGTTATTGAAGTATAGGAAATAAGATCAGGACACAGTACTATTCTGATACATGTGGGTGTTCCTTCTTTTGAGGGGAGGTGGGGAGCCGGTGGGTGTTATCCAGATTTCTGACTACCAAAGTCATGAGTAAACCTAGCACTGAGTCTTACTGAATAGGACAATGACAGATATTTTGTTCTGATTTTATCTATTCCCTTTGCTTACCCATTTTTTTGAAGTTTATTTTTGAGAGAGAGAGAGAGAAAGAAAGAGAGAGAGAGAGACAAAGAGAGGGACAGAGAAAGCACAAGCAGGGGAAGGTCAGTGAGAGAGAAGGAGACACGGAATCCGAAGCAGGCTCCAGGCTCCGAGCTGTCAGCACAGAGCCCAACGCCGGGCTCGAACTCACGAACCGTGAGATCATGACCCGAGCCAAAGTTGGACGCTCAACTGACTGAGCCACTCAGGCACCTTCCTTTGTTTTCCCATTTTATAAACACTTCTGGGAAAGGATCCTACCTTTAGGAAATGTGGTTGTTAAAATCTCCTCATTAGCCTGCTTTTAAAGCACAGAATTCCATTGTTAGTGATTTGAACTTTAAAGAGAAAATAAATTGATGACATAAAGAATCAGCGAGAGCTCTCGCATTTGGGGATGAGCCAGTGATTGCCCTTTTGGTCCTGCTGGCAAGAAAAAAATTGCACCTGCTGCTGTTGACAGGTGATGGTGCAGAAGTCGCAGGCTAGTACTTACTGAGCATTTACTATGTAGCTAGTCTTGTACTGAGTGCTTTGCCCGTGTTACTTCCCTGAATTTTCACAAGAATCCCACAAAGTCTCTGTTGCCTTTGTGTTTACTGAACCAAAAACAGTGCAGTTGTTCTAAAAGTTTATCAGCACAGCAAGCGTCTACTTCTCCTGTTTAAGAAAAGTCTAAGAGGTGGGTTGGGGGGATGGGTGAAATAGGTGATGGGGATTGAGGGGTGCACTTGTCATGATGAGCACGGGGCAATATGTGGAATTGTTGATTGACTACATTGTACATTGAGACTAATACAGCACTATGTGTTAACTTGACGGACTTAAAGTGAAATAAAATTTAAAACAAACATACAAACAAATAAAATTGCCAGCTACTAAAAAAAAAAAAGAGGAAGAAAACTATGAGAAACACCTGGATCCTTCCTTCCCTTCACGCCCCCACTTTGTCCGTTCCCTTTTAGGCTGAGGGAAACCTGTACATAAGTATAGGGTGAACCCGAGAAAAACCTTGAAGAAAGATGACGTAAGTTGAAAAATCACCTGAAACTGCAGTTCCAGTCCCGAGCTTTGCAGAAGAAATGAAAAAAATCTGGAGGGAGGATAAAGGCAGCAGAGGGTGGCTACAGAAAAGGAGGAACCAAAGGCACAATGAATGTGGTCTTGAAATCAAGAATTTCAAGACAATTAAGGTTATCCTGATTATGATGTCTTTTTAAGTAATCTATCATTTTCTAGACTAGAGTGACTTTTTTTTTGTTTTGTTTTGGGACAGATGCAATTATGTATGATAATAATGAAAGAATTCTCCCCAAGCATAGTAACATGTAAACACCACGACTAAATCCAGACTATTTCCAAATGCTGGGAAGGGGAAGGGAGATACGTCTTACAAACTAGCAGTATTAATTCAAACTCCTTCCTTTAAAAAAAAAAATTCATTTTAAATGATTTTATATGCCACATACATTATTTCCTTGACAATAAATAATAGTAACTGCTCATACTTTCTGCCTATATTGTAATTTTCTTATTTTAGGATTTTGTTTTACTTTGATGTTCTACTCAGGCTCCAGATTCAATTTTGCATACTACCTTCCCCTTCTGAGCATTCTATCTGAAGCATAGCACTTGCTATGGTCTTAAATATGATACAGACACAAGGTTTTTTATTTATTTATTTTTTTAAATTTTATTTGTAAGTAATCTCTGCACTCAGCATGTGACTCAAACTCACAATCCCAAGATCAAGAGTCACATACTCTTGTGACTGAGCCAGCCAGGTGTCCCCAGAGACAAGATTTTTAAAGGCTATATAATGTTCTGTCCAGCAGGTGGTTCAGAATTACCCCCATAGCTCATATTTTGAGGTTGTTGCCAATGTTTTAGTGGCAAATATGTGTATATGTACAAACATTTTAATAACTAGAATTTCTTCTGTGTTATAGTCCCAGCATGACTGAGTTAAAGGTGTGCATAGTTGAAGAAATTTGAGGTTCTTTAATTTTTTTCTTTTCCCCCCTTTTTGAAAGTATGCCTTAATTTTTTCAATACCAGAAAGAATGCCCTCTTTCAAAGTTTTAGTTTAGCAGAGGAGCTGAAACTTCTACCACAGGGAATTTGCTTATATGACCCACGTCTTAATACACAGGATGGTTCCTGGCTTATTCAGAAACACTGCCTGGGTGGCTCAATCGGTTAAGTGTCTGACTTTGGCTCAGGTCATGATCTCACAGTTGGTGAGTTTGAGCCCCATGATGGGCTCTGTGCTGACAGCTCAGAGCCTGGAGCCTGCTTCAGATTCTTGTCTCCCTCTCTCTCTGCCCCTCCCCTGCTCATGCTCTGCCTCTCAAAAATAAATAAACATTAAAAAAATAATATATATATATATATATATATATATATATATATATATTTTTTTTTTATGGGGCGGGGGGGCGAGGGGCAGAGGGAGAGAGAATCTTAAGCAGGTTCCATGCCCAGTGCAGAGCTCGAGCTCACAACAGTGAGATCATGACTTGAGTTGAATGCTTAACTAACTGAGCCACCCAGGGACCCCAACCATAAAGAAAATTTAAAGTGAAAAAAGAACCACTGCATACTCTGTGTTCAATACAAACATATTTTCCAGGGTAAAAAAATCTGATTTATCTCATCTATTTATAAATTTGGC